AGATTAGTAAACTTTACTGTGATTGGTTAAATTTCAATCTAATCCCAATCCCAATCCGTAGTCTGATACGGGCTTTAGCGCGCGCTCGGTGCAAGCGGCCGGATTCGCCGCGAGACAAATGTTATCCGATTGGCTGAGATGCGGCCACCAATTAGCAATCAATTTCCAGTGCGCAATCTGATACGGGCTTAAAGAGAGCGAGCGGTGCAGGTGCAGCTCTACCCCGCTACACCCGTGCCGGACAGCACACTTTCGCTCTCTCCGCTATACATAGCGCTCTACGCAATATTCTACGGGTGATCGATAAAATTGCCCCCCCTCGCGATGGTGTAGCGCGATGTGTCGGAAGCGCCGAAACGTCGTAGGATCGTAGGATCTACGCGCGATGCGAGCGAGAAGAGAGGCCGGGACGCGTAGGGAAGCGTGAAGGTAGCCGCGGCAGCGCGGGGGTGGGGGATGACGGGGCGACAGTGATGTGGTAACAGCTGTAGGCTCGGTGCTTTTTCCGCGGTGGATTTTACGGATCGAGCGCGTGAGATCGGTGACACACACGCGCGCGCGGAGCCGCCCGTCGAGTTCGCAGCGAGTGCGCGTCCGACGAGAGTGCCGAGTGTCGGTGACGCGGCCCCGCGGCGGTCGCGGCGCGCGCCAACCGTTTCGCCAGGCAGAAATGATCCCGAATGCGGCCGCGGCGTAGGCATTCGTGACGCGCCATGTCGCGCGTACCCAGCTGATCCCACGCTCTGACACAACGCACGCGTCTCCCCGTCAGCCGCGGGCGTTCCACGCTCCGAAGTTGCGCAATTGCCGAGGGAGAATATAGCGCGCGTCTTCCTTCATGAACGTGACTCGGTCGTGATTTCGTCAAATCCGAGCTGCCGAGAAAGAGAGAGAGAGCGAGCGAGCGAGCGAGCGAGAGAGCAAGAGAGAGCGATAGAGAGGAAGATAGAATGGCGGAGCTGGATGACTTATTTCACACGGATCAATATGTAGGCCCGGAGCGGCTTGCCGATCTGTGCTACAAGCTCATCTGCGAGAATCTCGACATTATCTCGGTAAAGGGGAAACGCGGCCATCGGATGCTGCGCAAGGGTATAACCTTCCCGAGCGAGATATGCGACAAGATTATAGAGTACGCGCAGCGCAGCGAGGCGACCGAGGACGACGACTGCTTCTTCTCGATCTTCAAAAATCAGGCGGCCACGCGGCTCAAGCACGTCAAGATCTCCAATTGCAGCCTGACCGACACCTCGGTGCAGACGCTCGTCGGCCACAAGCTCTACGACCTGGAGCTCATCGATTGCAGCAACGTGACGGAATTCTGCATCGAGCACATCAATACCAATTCGGAGAACCTGCACAGCTTGGTGTGCCATGGAACTTCGATGATCGTACCTTCTACCTTAAACCTCTGTAAGAGACCACGGTTTTGCCCACGTGTCCCGCAGCCTGTTGCAACGCGCCCCAAGCGGATTGTTAAACCATGACTCCTTGTTACAGCCTCCATCAATTACTACCAGCGTGGATATGTTTTCAACACGCCGAAATTAAAGCGCCTGGAATTAGGATACGTAGGAATACCATCGTCGGAATATTTACTCCTCCTAGCGGGGCTGTCGAATCTGACGCAGCTGGACTTGTCCAATAGTTGTAACATTGATACTTTTGAATTCTATCATCTGGTACCAAACTTAGTATCCTTAGCTTTGTACAACGTTAAGATCAATACCGACCCAAAATCCTTTGTCAAGAACATCTGTCAATTAAAACATTTGAGGTACGTTGGAGAGTTTCGACTATAGAGACAGTAAAGCTTATACATAGCGACAAGTTTTCTTGGTGGTGCAAGTACATGAGACGACGCAGGTTCATAAAATGTTTTTGCAGGTACTTGGACATTTCTCAGTCAAATTATAAACATGGACAGTTTGAAAATCCCAATAAGATCCTGTCCGACCTGGTGAATGGTCTACCTCAGTTGGTTTCTTTAGACATCGGTGGTACAAATCTTGCGGGAAGAGGCGTAGCCGAACGTCCCGTCGACACGAATATCGAAGACTTTGGGCAGCTCTCCGATATACCGGGACTCGCATCTAGGATACATAAGCCGTTACAATTCTTAGGACTTTACGGGACTATGCACGGTGCTTGTAGAAGACACGACATACCGGCGAAAGTGGTGAGATTGCACGAGAATTGTCATATTTGCGCCCTCCGATTATACCGGTAGTTATTTCTTGATGGGAAATGGAGAAAAACAATATTGAATATTTCTCTCCGACGCTTAACGAAAGGAGATATTAAATAAAGTCCATGTGTAGAAACTAGTTGACTGTGCGCTACTGCAAGAAATTAGTAGGTAAAAGCATTATCGTTTATTCATCTACTTGTTTTCTTACGGGGTTGGCTTAGGTGGCTGGTGATGCAAATGAGGATCAAATACTGATCGCGGCTCATGTTTGTATGGACAATAAGCAAGAATTACTACAAAAAGTATTGGGCGACTTATACCACGTGTTTAGATATGAAAATTGTCATAGGATGGATCAAGCGCTATGTACCGTGTTGGAAGCGATGGAAAAGCATCCAGCTCAGAAGCATATACAAATATCGGGAAGGTACGCATGTGCGTAGAGAGACGTGTATTCTATAATTTATCAATTATAGGATATGCGCCAAGAGAGCAAGACAACCTTTAATCTTACATCGCACATTGCAGCGCCACGTTATTTTACATAGTAAAGATGAAGGAAAAGGGTGAATTAGTAGCGCGAATGAAGAGAAGGATTATCAGTACTCTCCTTGCTGGTATGAGCACACATAGGGACGAAGAGACTATGATGCGGAACGGTTGTTTGGCGTTGTGTCAGTTCCGCATACCACATGATGTGGTTTGTGTCATTTTCAACTTTTCTTTATTTTGCCCCCGTCTATGACATTAGTCTCCCATATTAAACTATTCGCATTCAAACTGCGAAATTGTCGCTTAACCAAGGAAAACGTCACGTTTTCGAAATGTTGACAATAGTTTACACGATATATAAAAGAAGTATAATTAACTACTTTCGATAATAATGCAATTATCATTCACTTCTGTAGATGTCGAATTATGAAACCCTTGTAAAGGTGCTTCTACATTCAGCCAAACACTCCGAACCAGAAAGTTTTGTCCAAAGAATCGGCATATATCTATTAAACTCTCTAGCTTGTCAAGTGGAAGGTAAAGAAAAGAGATTGCTCGGCAAGCTGGGTTGTGTTAAAACTATGTTAGAATTGGTGGAGTATAGGGTGGAGACAAACATATTCGACGACGTGCTAGAAGTCGCATGGTCGACTATGTGGAATATGACGGACGAAACATCCATAAATTGCCAGCGATTCTTGGATGAGGAAGGCATGGCGCTTTTCCTCAAGTGCGTACAGGTGTGTTTCGCAAAGTACGCTATACTACAAGTACGCAAGTCGGATATACTTAGCTTAAGCTGCGATTTTTGTTTCCACTGCAATATATTTATCGCCTGTCTAGCAATATCCACACAAAGAAGAGCTGTTGAGAAATATGATGGGTTTGCTGGGCAACGTAGCCGAAGTCGAGTATCTTCGGATCCATCTGATGCAGGAACGATATGTAACCGTCTTCGCCAATCTGTTACGCTCTAATAGCGATGGAATCGAGGTTTCGTATTTTCCCTTCTTCCTTCATTCTTTTCAATTCTAGTGCACTCACAAATAATATAGATTTCTCGAATTACACAGGTTCCGTACAACGCCGCTGGTATATTGGCACACATGGCATCCGATGGTATTGACGCTTGGACAATAGAAAAGCCAACTCGTAAAGAGGTTCTTAAGTACATGGTGCAAGCGATTGAGAGTTGGGACTTGAATGCGGAACGTAACATCAATTATCGCTCGTTTGGACCACTGTTACGTCTGCTGGATGTGTATCATACTCCACCGTGTCAACATTGGGCCGCTTGGGCTCTTGCCAATCTCACCAAAGTATACTGTACGTGCGCAATATTAATATTCATACGTACATATGACGAATCATTTAGATTTAGAATATCCGCCTTCTTGCTCTGTTTGGCTCTATTTTTTTCTTGGCTTCCACTATTTTACATAATATGATGTAATCGATGTTTCAGCATTCAAGTACTGCGCATTGGTGGTGAAAGAAGGAGGACTGGAGAAGCTGCATACGGTGATAGCAGATCCCAGACCATACGAACGTATAAAAGAACTTGCAAACTTGGTGATTGAAAACTGCTGTAACGAGAGCCACTCCGACGACGTAAATGTCTCTCATTCTGCTTTAGACGCGGAATACAGCCTGGATGGCTAAAAAGACGGATCTTAATAATGTGCACACGTTGCATAACTTATATCATTTCTTTAGACAAAACAAAGTATGATTATGATATTAGTATCATAACTTGGACAGAGATAATAGCAGAAGAAAATTACATAGACGAGTCAGATTAAACATGAGTGTGTTACATTAACTTGGTAACGATGGATCTGTTCTTTGTAGCTGTGCTATGTCATACTCTCTGCGCTTAAAACGAAATAAGTACATAATTAGGCGAGGAGAGAAAACAGAAACGATGAAATGTATGAAGGGTTTAGCTACAAAAAACAAGTCTATTTTTTCGATAAAAAGAAGTGGAAAAGGACGGATGCTCAATATTACAATTACAAAGGTTGTGTATGTATGCTTGCTTGGACGCGTATGTGTGTACTCGACCGTGCTCGTGGGTGTATGTGCGCGCGCGTGGGTTCATGTATTTGGATGGAGAATGCAAAGTATTTTGAAATGATTATTCAATTACGCAAATATTCATCTTATACATTATTGCCGGTAATTAATGGTTGACTGAACCGAGAATCTCATCCGATCGATATATAGTACATACGGTGTCTCGAATGTCTTGCCATAAGAAAATCATATTCTTTCGAACTACTCGGATACAGGTATGCGTCATCTCTAGATATTTGTGAATCGAGATTGCGTGTCAAAAAATTAAAACCTAAACTTTTATTTATTTAAAACTGAATATTAGCTGTTTACTTATTTTCGACCGATGTTTACTCTCATGCGAATGAAGCTCACAGATGCTTAAACTCGGATAGAATTTTCAACGATGCATTTGTCACGCCGTGTGTATGTTGTACATACTTTTCATATATAATCGAGCCTTCACCTTTCGACACCTCTGTTCTTAATCAGCTGAACTTTTGAAAATAATTAGCGAAATTACAAACGCGCTTAGATACGATGAGAGAAATGATGGGGGGAGAATGAGGAATTTTTCTTTGTCCTAACGGCTTGAGAGTAAGGAGGTTCGACTATAAAAAAAAACGAGAATGAATAATCGGAGTTGGGCTTGCACGCTTATTATACTTGTCTTTAACTAATCGTATTGACTTTCGTACAATATGTGGATGTTTGTTCTGGCCTTTCTTTTCTTTCTATCTTTGTTTCCCCCCCTCCCTTTCTTGTAGATATATATACGACGTAGCGTAGGTAATTCGTTCTCATTCTACTAGGACTTTTCCAACACGGAAGGACGTGACAGGCTTAGAAGAACTTTGCGTGTAAATAGAATTACGAGGGAGCAGTATATTAGATTTAAATGTTTTGTATGTTATCGTTATAATTACCATTAAAGTCCCTTGAGAAAATTAACTCGTCGATTAAGTCCCAATGACATGGTATATCGAACGTATACTTTCAACGAATTTCCACAGATTTGTCTTTACGTAGGTTCTTGTTCAGTGACAAGAATACGCGGGGAAGGAATTACAGCGATTGTTACCAGCGTCAACGTAATGCGCGTGACGATGTAATCACAACGCATCATGCATACGGTTTGTTCGATGTATAATATAGTATTATCTGAAATTATTATTAGAGTACGCATTTTATTCTCTTTTTCTATCCTTTTCTTTTTCGTCCGAAAACATTGTGGCTATTTGTACAGGATCAGTGAGGCAAGTTATTCGTGATAATCCCGTATTTTTCAATAAAGTTTACCAAACGACAATAGTAGCTGCAAAATAATAGTAATAGAGTAACATCAACGGTTGTAATTAATAATTATGTTAAATATCCTATAATGGGATAGCAGGTTTTCAACGTGCAAATTCAATCGCAAGTCATTTCTCGCGACGATTACACGATTCATCTAGCAATGAATTTTCCACTAAACAGATTTCACTTCAAGAATAATAAATTCATTATGGAACCAATGATGCTTGTTAATTTAACAGAAAGTCCTATCTCATATTAGGAATTTGTCGTCATAGGGGACTTTCTTCTAGTGATAATTCCAGGACTAATCAGGACAATAATAATATAATCCATATTATTTTATTAACATACGGGAAAAAGATTAGAACAAAAACGCGTCTAAAGACGATCGCGTGGTTCTACGCGGTCATCTCGTTGGCCGCATGGAATTTCAAATCTGATTGCAAGATCGAACTACGAGCTATAATTCATTCTGGCTGCGGTCAAGCTGCTGCAAATGCTTCGAAGCGTCTCTCCCTCTCTTCTCCTTTCATCTTTATTGAAAGAAGGGAAAGGAAGAATTCTTCCAAGTATTTGTATAGCGGCAGTTCGATCGCGGCCTCTAGACACCCGGCACATACGACTTCCGGTTCCACCGATTTATTCCATTGGCCAATCGCAGACGAGCCTGAGGAGAACAAGCGCAACTGCGATTGGTCGGTTTCGCGCAGCTCGAGCCTCGCCGCGCCAATCGTGGAGCCGGCCTGACGGGCTCGCACATTCGGGGCTGCTGGGACGCCACTCGTACCGAAAACGTGTGCGCCGACATTTTGGTTATCCATGGTGGCTCGGTGAACGATTTCGTTTGCTCCCGCCAGCTTCGCGCGAGCTCTTCGGAGGTGGCTCGCGATCTGTTAGACGGGCTTGGTGTTTTAGCGGGTAGAGCGTATATACGTGGAGGAGTGCCGTGGGATCGCCCGTAGTCGCGTCCGCGTCGCAACGAGGGAGGAAGGAAGACGGAGGCTGCGACTCTCGCGGCTCGGCCAGGTAAGATTTGCCTTGTGTGCGCGCTCGACGCGACAGGGCGCTCGGCCATTGCTCCCCGCGGTCGCGCGAATTATCGACCGTTTTATCGACTCGTAGCTCCGCGGCCTCGCGGCGGGCCCGTTTCTCCGGAGTATCTCGCGCGAGAGGGTCACGGGGCTCCCTCGCCGATTTGCGACGCAGAGCGCCGTCACGTTGCTGGCGCGTTTCGTCTCGGGATCGCGTCGGAGCCGCGCGGGCGCCCGACGCCGTTCCAGCCCCTGCCTCAATTTCCACAATTCTCTCCTCCCTTTTCTCATCTCCCGCTGAAAGTCGAGCTAGCGCGCGCGCGGATTCCGCGTCCCGATCTTTCGACTCCAGCTCCGAGCCGCTTAACCTGAACGGCGGGGCCGATCGCCGTGCGATCGCGGTGAGGCTATCGACGTATTCTCCACGAATGCGACTTCTGGCACATGCGTTGTACAGAAATATTTATTTTGTTCGTAGACTAACGGCGCTGTGTCCACTACAGCCCCTTATCTCTTTCTCTCTGTCTCGCTCACCGATAAGTTGCAACCATGAGCTACGGTTACAACAAATACAGGTAATGTACTTATTTTTTTTTTCGTGCACTGCGACACGTTCTCCTGTCCTTTGCTGTAACAATTGATGGGTGTGACGTAAGGTATACTTGAAAAGGACTGGTATTACTGGTCGAAACATGATTTTATTTTATTAAAATAAAAGATTTGCCAGCCCATATCGTTTTAATTCTTAATTGTATTTCTTTTATCACTGGCGACTTACCATTTCCAAAAACTTAATGTACTTACGTTCAATCACGCTGCGGGGGGGGGGGGTTGCGTTATTTTTTTTCATCAGCAAGATAAGGGTTTTATTTAAGTCACACTTTCTTTTAAAGATACTCACTCTTGCCGTTTAAGTGACTTCAACGTTTCTGTGTTTTTACATATTTTTAAATACACATTTGCATATCAGTGCTTTGCTTGGTCATAGCGAGGAATCTTAATCTTGTTTTTACAAGACGCAGTAGAATACGCCCAGGTACAAAAAATAGAGGAAGATAGCGAATGTCTTTCTCGGTTTCTTTTCTAGTTCCACCATGAGTTCTCGCGGTCGTGGATTTAATTCTCGCGGAGGTGGTTCGTACAGGGGACGCGGTGGTGGCGGAGGAAACGAGTGGAATGGTGGTTCGGCGGGCGGGAACATGTCTGGCAGAGGAGGATACTCATCTTCCAGAGGTGGCAGGTTTAAATATTCAACGACGAGCTACGACTCTAGATCCAAATATAATTCAGGTAATGTATGAGCGTTTGACGTTTGACGAACGGCTGCGTTCGGCGGAGAAAGCTGCTCAGTGAGCGCCGAGGGGTAAACCGCTGAGGGCATTGTGATGTATTTGATTTGCGGCATTACCAGGGATTACGTCATTTCTGGGGCATTTAGTGGGCGGTGACGTTGCAACGTGCTTCTAGGCGCCCCGCTGGGACTCGCTCGCACGCCTCTTCACATTTTGCGCCTCACGCTTGAGCGTCGTTGCATACCGCCTAGTAACAGCTAGAGCTTTCGGTTGGATACGCGTTTTAAGACTCACATGTACCTGTGTACAAGACACTTGTACACGTATAGTCGAATATTCGTACGTGTGACACGTGTAAACGTGTGCAAATATTTGTCAAAATCTGACGAAAGATCTCTATTTCTGCATATGTTTGACATACGTATACGCATAATTCCAGCATTCCAAGTTTTATCCATATTTTGTCACATAATTCTCTAAATATTGTATTTCCCTATTGAGGTGTACACGGCTACACGTTTACATACGTCACATACACGGATATTTGTGTACGTAAATGAGGATTCTTTAAATTCGTATACACGGGTTAAAATACGGATAAGTTAAATACACGAATCACACGTGCAGTCTAGTACTCGTGTACTGGTGAGCTCTAGTAACGGCACCGTCCTTGGGTGTTATTTGAACTTGTTGGGGCATTATAAAGAATCTAAAAAAGATTGTATAAAATAAAGTAATGTCCACCGGACATTACAGCCGAGCTTTAGTGCATTAGTAGGCATTGGTGTACACAATTTCGGTCAGCAGTTCGCTTCTCGGTGAGCACTTTGTGTCGATTGGATTATACTCTTAACTTGGAACTTGGTCCAAGTTTTAGTATTGTGGACGCAGGCCTTTAGAGCTGTGCTGTGATAGAATTATTCTTCTAGATTTCAAAGTCATAATCCAACCGGCGCAAGCGCTCACTGAGCAGTTTTCTCTGCCGAGCCAATAACAGTTAAGGTTTGCGCACGCACGCTTATGAACTGTGCTCCACTCGGTTTTAACAAAGCTTCGAAGCGTTTGTGTGTGGTTTACCTAGACAGAAAGTCACACTTTAATGCACCGAATGGAGCACAGTCTGGTTTGGAGAGTATAGTATGTACAAATTACGTATTAGCAGGGTTGGGCAAGTTAGATTTTTTTTAAACCAAGTTTAGTTAAAGTTAACAGCCTTAAAAGTTTAACTTACGAGACACGGGATCGTACTTGCGACCTACGAGTTACGAAGCAAGCACCTTATTCGCCGAGCATTGGACAAAACGCCAAGACACGTGTATTTTTTTTGGCCTCTAGAATCACCCAAAAAATTGGCATCTCGATGTACTGGATGTAGTGTCCCTTTGTTAGTTAAGATACAAGTTAATCCAGGATAAAATTGAACGAATTTAAAGTTGGGTCAATAATAAAAAGAAATTAAAAAGTTAAAAGTTAAATTTGTTTTATTTTTACATAAAATCGCAGACTTGTGATCACATAAATTGGATTGAATTTCACGACCACCGTTTAAATCGATCACACTTGACAGAATATGGCCCATTTCATATGCGAGGAATTTCACGTGAGTTTGAAAATTAAAACCCCGTATAATGGCTGTGTTGCAAAATTCATTGCCAGCGTCGAAGAGCTCTTATAGTGCACGTAACGTATACTGTAGATTTTTAGCGCTGAATTTTGGAACGCAGAGACTGCCAATGTAGGCAGACGTCTACGTCTCTAATGTAACAAAGTTGTTAATGATTTCACTTTTTAATTTTTTAACTTAACTTTTATCATTTTTACTAGACACTACCCAACCCTGCGCATTAGATATTTTTGAATTATTATATCGTCGGCTTCTCTTTTTAGGTTCAGAGAGATATTCAAGCAGAGGTGGTCGTGGCGAACATTCCAACAGTTATAAAAGACCACGTGTAAGAATACAGAATACATATATAAAAAAGCCTTTTTGTGTCATCCGGAATACCAAAATGGGGGTTGTTGTTTTTTACAGGATTCGTATTCCGGTAGAGATGACCATCGATCATCTAGCGAGTCGACACGTAAACGAATAAGAAGTGACTATCAGGTATGTATTCTCCCCTGCCTCTCTCTTTGTAATCTCCGTCATACGTTTCTCTATCTCGTAAGATAATATTTTGAGAGAAAAGTGTAGCACGGCATCAGTATGCAATGCTCTGAAATTGCTCATGATATTTGAATTTTCGTAATGAAAAGTTTCTTCCAACAATTCAAGTATTGTTTTTATATTATGTAATGTAATTGAGAACGATGGTCCTGAAAGTTTGTCACTTGTCGATTAAAGTGTAACGTATCCAAAAGAATGTGTACGCAAGGAAGAGTTGTGTTTAAAAAAGAAAAGAAAGGAATATCAAATGATTTCAGGACACTCGTATATAAGAAAAATTGGTATACTTTAGACGATGCATTTATAAGTTATCATACTTTCCTTTCAAGCAACGCGAACCAACGGCTTCTCGAACACTCGTTCTTTTTGCGTTGGGACGCTACTGCGGTGGAACGCTACAAAAACGTCAAATTATTAAAAGATGACTCGTTAAAAGATGAGATATACCTAGATGGTATTTATGATATTGCCCGCTGTCCGCATATATATCCTATTAAAGTTTGAGAGCTATTTGAAAAGTCGCTGGAAAATGGGATGGATAGACCCGTACGTGCGAGTTGCATCACGTTATTTCCCGTTAGAGAGCAATAAGCGCAATTGTGCCGATTTATTACGCAGTTACGAGAATAGAGAGTATAGAGAAATTGTAGAGAGAGATAACGTACAACGACCTCACTCATGGGATTTTCATGAAATATCATCTCTAGACGCCGTGTAATCAGTTATCTTAAATTATGTCCAATGCTAAATTACAAAGAGAACAAATTTTGAATAATATTTATACGTTCGTAGACCTTTCCAATCGTATTGGGGCAGGTTTGTCCTTTATCGATCTTCCGTTAAACATGACGCAGAGGGAATTGGGAAAGAATTAATGTGTAATGTATGCATATATCCCTACGAAATGATGGAGAACACTTGACGCACGCATGATACATGTGAGGCAGACGAGCGAAAGATGGACATACACGTATACGTAATATTGTCCAAACCGTCTTAGTACCAAACGCAACCACGCACATGTATTTACAAATGATTACCGTTACTTTCGTTCGATTATCATCTTCGTGTGTTCCATATGAAAGATTTGACGCATCGTTCCATACGAAAGACTTGACGCATCGCACCTAATAATTCGACTAAGTTGGAAAGGTCTATCGTTGAATGGCGAGATAGAATTCGTTAGCTCGAGGGAAGCGAGCGCTGCTATTACTCCCAGGATTGCACATGTGAACGAGATTAGAGATATATTTTCCACACGATTACGCAAAGTTACGTAACGAGGCAAACGTAAAGAGGCATTTAGGGATTCTCGATTATTTAGGGAAAGTCCAATTATATATGGCTAGGTGATACAATGATCATAGAGTAACTGCAATTATTAATCCCAATTATGACTGCGACGGTCGTGACACGACTGGACCTGTTTAAACGATAAACGATTAGCACTGCATGCATGTGATAACCGAATGATGAAATGCAAATGGATTTGAAAGCTGAAAATAGAAACATATCAGTTAATTACTATGCCGACAATTACGCTATTAATTGATCAATCAATTTTTTATTCGGTCGATTGAGTTAGTCAGTTAGCCATTTAGTCAGTCGATCGCTCGATCAATCCATCAATCGATGTCAGTCGGTTAGTCACTCGGATTAGCCCAGTTGGACAGTAGCAAGTAAGATTTAAACGTAGATATGTACGTATGTGTAGAGAGATCTACGAAAGATAAGCGGTAGGAAAGGGAAAAGAAAGGATGAGTGCATAAGCATATGTGCGTAGAATAAAGTATAAGAGACAAAGGAAAGGAGATGAGAGAAAAGAGAGGAAATGCATGGAAGGAGGACAATTAAATTTGATTTGGCAGGGTGGAGGTAGCGGTAGCGGCTCACAGAGGTATTCGTCGTACGGTTCGTCCACGGCAGCGCCCTACGACGATAATAAGGGATCGTCATCATCAGCCGTATACGAGGACAAGAGACAGAGCGAACGAGCGTCGTCGTACCACCGTTCCGAGGATCGTCACTCCGCCTCACGGAGCTACGCGCCTCCGCCACCTCCTCGGATTAGCGAAATGGCACCGCCGCCGACTCAGAGATACACCTCGAGTCGTGGAAGAATATCGCACCAGAGCTCAAATTACAGAGGTCGCATTTCGACCCGCGGCACCGGTGGTAGAGGTGGTGCATTTCACCGCGTGAGCTCTCGATCGGACGTCCTCATGGCTCGCAAGCGTACTCTGCATTCGCTCGACTATCGTCGAAAGCTGCTAGGCTCACGCTCGCGAGACTACATCCAGCGTGTGCGCATGACTACTACCAAACTACGCAGGAGGTAATTTATTAATACAGTCACTTACCGAAAAAAAAAAACACTATCTTCGTAGCCTGTGCTTGAGTATCCTTCTTCAAAGTCGGTTCCTGCAAACCGACTCTCGGTCGATGACAAGACTGAGTGTCGCAAGACAATGATTTAGATGAAAGCGAACGAACAAATGCGCATGCGTGAATAAGTGCCTAGTAAGTAAATCGATTGATAAAAAAAATCAAGATGCGAACGATCTTGAAACGAATGTTACACTGCCGAGAGAGAGAAAGAGAGCTTTTTGCAGGGTTCTAATAAAGAAGAAATCATTGACGATACGTATAAACGTAATGTACGTGTGTACGTGTGTCATCATCAAAACGCAACGTAATAACTTTCGATATGAGAGCTAAAATAATTGTACTTTACTCGTCATGAGATATAATTCTCTTTAAAGTTTATAGCGGTACGACTATACTATTCATATATTTTTTGGCACGACCGAGGGTGTGCGAAGAAGTCGGAACGCGATGAAAAATAAAAGAACAATGAATAATAGACACTTTTAGCGTACACTACGAAACGCATTTCACGTTTTGGGACATAGAGCCGAGATATTAAACCGATACTGTCGCGATATTTTCTACGTATCATCTATAAGCAAGTTTTGCTCGATGATACAACGAAAGACAAAGAAGCACGAAAAAAAAATGGAAAATGCTGGAAAATAATATAAGTCAAAACAAAATTGCTGTGTCATTAGTAGCGGTACTACTAGGCTACCCGGAAGTAAAAAGGACTCGGGATCCGGGACCAGCGTGAAGGACAAGGATAGAGAGATGGCCAAAGCCATTAATGCAGAATTTTCCGATGACGATGACGAGGAAGATGATAATAAGAGTAATTGGGACGACGAAGAAAAGGTAATTCAACAGTGGCGTTAAACAAGCTTGTCAAATGTATGATTATTTATATATTTAAGTATATTTATGTAACTTGTTTATTAGATGAATAGAATATAAACATGGGTCACAGATGCCGGGGATTGTTTTATTGTTTTTAATCGCTGCTGCTAAAAAAACCAAGTGATCCAATCTCTAACATGAAATTCTTACTAACAATAGACTCGTCACTAGAGTTTATTCATATATTTAAGAGCATATTAAATATATAATATTTTATACGATGCTTTTAAAATGTGACACATAATATGCTCTTGCGTGTTTAAATGATTTTGTAATATTTATTTATTATTTATATATTATTGTCAACGTTATACAGCCACACGAACATGATGAAGAGGAGGACCTGGAAGAGGAAGAAGAGAAAAAGAAGAAGGAAGACAAACGTAAGAAGGAGAAACAGGATAGGGAAAGGCAACACACCGAAGATGAGGAAGAAAAAGACGATGATATTAAAGAGGAAGATGATGATCAGAAGCGAGAAGTGAGTCACATTCAGCCCTATACTATCTAAATTACTATTAGTTTTATTGCCCTCAATAGTGTTTTCTTCACTTGTTCTAATCCATTTTGTTGGGTCTGTAGGAGGATGAAGATGACGATGGTGACGACGAAGAACGCGACGAGAATGAAAAAGCGGAACGTGATAGAACCGCAGATTCCGAAGAATTGCCGAGTAGACGGGACGGTAGAAAGTTTATAAAGTTGAAATGCCCTCATTGCGCCCATCACAGCGTCACGTTCAAAGAATATTCGCTCCATCTGTTCTCTGGCCGCCACAGTGCGGCGATGAAACGTATCGCTGCTCGACACAAGGCAACTATAACGCGTATGCGAGTTGTTCAACGGCAAGAGCAAAGGCGTATCGAGGCTCGCGATATGGCACGCGGCACGCTGCCCTCTCGTACTATGTTCTGTGCCATTTGTAAATTAAACTACCGTTCCTTGAAAACCGCTCATCAGTTGTCCGAGTCTCACCGCCAAATGAAACGATTTCTCACACCATTCTGTCGTGTTTGTCGTATTCAATTCCGTTCACCAATGTTCTTTGAGACACATATGTGCTCCCTAGAGCATATCAAGGTAACTGTTGTACTTCATAATCAATTAATTGTTCATTTTTCTTTGTATGATGACTAATGTAAGTTGATTTTCCTCTCATCAGAGAAAGAGTATATTAAGAGAAAGAATGAATGCAAGTGGAAGTGGCGAAGCAGAGGGGGATTCGAGCGCGCCAGAAGAAGATGATAAAGAAGTAAATCTTGACAATTTTATGACTTTGGATTCTGTAGGTGATGTAGACGGTATGTAACAAGCATGTACGAAATATCCCTACGAAATGTAATATCCCATGCACTTATCTCTAAATGTCACATTATTGTTGTTTTTAAAGAGGATGAAGAGTCCAGCGACAAGAAAAAGGAAAAGACCGAGGGTGAAAGTTCAAGCGAGGCGGAGAAAAAATCGAAAGGCAAACAAATGATAAAAGTCGGCGCGGAATTTATAAAACGTGTCGAAGTACAATATTGCGAATTGTGCAAAGTATATCTACCACGCAGCGAAAACACAGAGCGGGCGGTCGCTTTACACTGTTCTACTCGTAGTCACCTTAAACGGTATATCACATTGATGTTCAATGATGAATGAATCGATGTTATAATCGTTGTATTTACAATCGTATGCATACTGCAGGTACGTGCGAGATAACGACGACAAGGCACTTAGACGTCAAGCGGAAAGAATACATCTTCAATCGTCATCGGCAACGAATGTGAATTCTACCAATTCCACCGTGACTAACAATGCATCGGACAACGCGAAGACTTCTCCCGTCAATTCCGAGCCACAAGTATCTGCTATACCAATGTCTACTGCGGCTGATAATAATGGTGTTTGCGGCGCAGAATACGTTAAAGTTGAAGAAGAAAAATCATGTAACTTAGAGTCTGAAAAGAATGCGAAAGATAGTAAGAATAATCCGGGGGATGAAGACGACGATGACTATCGCGCGCATGGCAGTGATAAAATTATTTGGGATGACGTCGACAAGGATTTAGGTGACATTTTGCGAGAAAGCGAGGCAGGAGCATCGAAATCGAGCGACGATGAAGATTCGCGTTACGATCGTTTTCGTAATTCGGACAAGAAGCAGCCCGGGAAAGAAAAAGAAACTGAGAAAGGTGAGAACCTTGAGGACAAGAGCGGTAATAATAAAATTAAAGACGTAAAAAATTAAACTTGAAAAGATGGATTCTATCGTCGAGAATCGTCTTTCGTTGTATTTTTTCAATTTACTTGACGCATTTTCAGGTTATTTCGTTTCATCTTCTCTAAATCTCGGTCTAATAATTGCTTTCATAATAAATCATGCAAATACCAAGTTTCTTGGAACTATCGTTTAATTAAACAACTTAATTTGTGCGTAGCGTATTACACATTCAAAATATTAATTAATACATGTTCCATTGTATTTCCTTGTTTGTTTGAAAATATGTGTTAATTTCAATGTGTCCAAGTCTCGCAATTTTCAATTTATGTAGTTTTAACGTATAAGTCTTACATCATTGATACGATCATATGTTGCCTATAAGTGACATCATTCAAATGTAATATACTAAGCATTACTGATGCTTTCCCCTATGAATTTGTGCACACATTTATATTTTGCATATTCATGGAAAATGTATAAGTATTATAGGTGTCTTTGGGAAGCACACATTTGGCACTAAAATCGTCTTCTATCTTCGTTCGATATATAGCGAGTGACAAAGATAGACTGATGCTTTCAGTGCTAATAGCGTTTTCCCATATGCAGTCTATGTTCTATATGTGCCTAAGTTTATTTTGGACTGTATCAATAGTGCCTAGTGTAGGTATATCTAAACAATACACGAAGTAAAGCATACAAATTTCAATTTTTATTTGTCAGCGTGAAGGAAGTGTGCGCCTGATCAATGTGTGCATCTCATGTAAGCACAATTTAACTATAGATTTTATTGAACATAATAAAGTCCGCACTCTAGGATCAAGAATTGTAGTAGCCTTTCCTGTCAATCTCCTGCTCATAGACGTAGGAAATATCTAGACGGAACGTCAAGTATCCATCATAAGCTAAACATTGAAAAAATTATAACTTGTTTTCTTGAATATCTCAAAGAGTATTAGGCAAATAAAAAATGTTTTAGACAAAAGTTGTTCATATTAATAAGTAAAATATAATAGTGTAATAAAAAATAGGAGTTCTGTTTAAAAAATTGGAGGTGACCTTCACGTGACCTTCAAATGACTGTCCAAGGTCAAGTCAAAGCCATCACCTACTGTCCCACTTCAAACCAAACAACTTTTGTTTAGAACGTTTTTCCGTATCATATTTTTTAAGTTATTCACGTGGATCATTGAAAATGAAACGCCCTGTATAGTTCCAAAATTTTTTCTAACTTCTAATCACGAACATTAGGAATCTCGAAAACTGGCGAAGTATCAGGAG